TCCTCCTTCTCTCCCTCCTTTTCTCCTTCTCCTCTTCTTCCTCCTTCTCATCTTCCTCTTCTTCCTCTCCCTCCTCTCCTCCTCTTCCTTCATCTCCTCTTTTTCCTCCTCTCCCTCCTCCTCCTCTTCCTCCTCCTCTTTTCTCCTCTCTTTTCTCCTTTCTTTTGTATTTAGGATCAAACTCAGGGCCTTGTCATGTCACACCAGACAGTCACTCACCACTCAATACACCCCCAGTCCTTGAGCTTCTTCTCTTGCCTTTTTATCTTCCTCTTTCCTCTCATTGAACCTTTAGATTCTCATTCTCCCCCCCCCCCAATAAAGTTTCTCCATATAGCTCTGACTGTCCAGGACTCACTCTGTAGACCAGGCTGGCCTCAAACTCAGAGATCTGCCTGCCTCTGTCTCCCCAGTGCTGGGACTAAAGTCATGCACCACCACTGTCTGAGTCACCCCCAAACTCTTAAGTCTGCTTTTTTTTCCCTTTCTCTTTAGAACAGCATCTTGTGCAGCCTAAGGTAGCACAGAGTTCACTGTGTAGCTGGAGATGACATTAAATGTATGATCCTTCTGCTTCTACTCTAACGTGCTGGGATTATAGGCATGTGCCACCATGCGTGGTTTGTGCAGTGTTGGGTATTAAACCCAGGATCTCCTGCACCCTAGGCAAGCAGTGTAACAACTAAACTACCTCAGCCCAAGTCTAATTTTGTTTTTATAATTATATAACTTTATGTGTATGAGTGTTTTGTCTCTGTGTATCTATGTGCACCATGTGTGTGCCTGGCATTTGCAGAGGTCAGACGAGGCATCGGCTCCCTTGTAACTAGAGTTATGGATGGTTGTGATATATACCATGTGGATGCTGGGAACTGAAGCTGTTGTCCTCTTCAAGAGCAGCCAGTGCTCTTAGGTACTGAGCCATTGCTCCAGCTCCCCCAAGTTTTTTTTTAAAGAGTCAGAAGTTAGTGGTCCAGCCAAAGCAATTTCACAGACTTCTGGTACCTCATGAACAGGATGTGTTTATCAGAGCTGTCTCCAACAGAGCTTGGAGCCCTGGTTCTTCAGGAGGGTGCCGGTGTGGAGCACAGCTGTGTCAGAACTGTCACCATGCCAGTGAGACAGGTTTTCTCTCTAGGACCTGGGGAGTGAACCAGACCTGCCAGGCTAAATCACCATCCCTTTCTGTATTTTCTTATTTTGAGACAGGGTCTCACTAAATTAGCCATCCTTACCATGTAGTCCAGGCAGGCCTTGAACTGGCGACCCTGTTCAAGTACCCTAGCATCTGGTACTATAGGCCTGCATTACAGGGCCAGTCTCAGAGGTGGGAGTTTTGATCAGTACTGTTTTATTTTTGTTTTCTAGCTGCTGGGGCAGGCGGCTCGAAATATGGTACTACAGGAAGATGCCATCTTGCACTCAGAAGATGTAAGAACCATTTGCGTTGCGTCATGGCATGTGTGTGTGTATGTCTGTGTGTGTGTGTCTGTGTGTGTGTGTGTGTGCACTTTGTATGACCACAGGGAAGTGGACTATTCTGTTTCTCTCTCTCTGTTGTGCAGAGTTTAAGGAAGATGGCAATAATAACAACACACCTTCAGTACCAGTGAGTATGCACTACCAGCAGCCACCACTGCAGCATCCTCATCCTTAGCCTACTCCTTTCTTTTGTGCTTTAGCACACCTTCCTATGGAAGTGGGAGGGGGATGGAGAGGGAGGAGGATGGAGGGGGAGGGGGATGGAGGGGGAGGGGGATGGAGGGGAGGGGGAGGGAATAGAGGGGGAAGGGGATGGAGTGGGAGGTGGAGATGGAGGTGAGAGGGGATGGAGGGGGAGGGAGATGGAGGGGATGAAGGGGATGAAGGAGAAGGGAAATGGAGGGGGAGGGGATGAAGAGGGAGGGAGCTGGAGGGGGAGGGGATGGAGGGGGAGGGAGATGGACAGGGTGGAGGATGGAGGGGGAGGAGGATGGAGGTAGGTGGAGATGGAGGTGAGAGGGGATGGAGGGGGGGGGGATAGAGGGGGGGGGGGATAAAGGGGGAAGGGAATGGAGGTAGGTGGAGATAGAGGTGGGAGGGGATGGAGGTGGGTAGGGTTGATGAAGGATGCAGTCTCTGGGGAAAGGCACCTGAGGTTTCAAGGGAAGTTGGGATGCCAGAGAGTGGGAGCTGGGGCCACTTTTTTGAACCTCCCTGTGTTAACTCGGGGCTCTACAAGGGAAGAAGGCATAGGAGCAGGGCCTGCCAGGACCGTGTTGCCACTGAGGGGCACCTGGGAAACACTTAACCAGTGTCTGTCCACTCCGTGCTGGTGTTGTTCCTGTCCCGGAGAACAGAGTGGGGTGGTAGCTGGCGTCCTGCATATAACACAGCATCAGCAACATAGAAATCATTCAGATCTTGAAATACACAGTGCCTTCACTGTCGTTTCAAAGAAAACCATAGTTGAATTTGCCTTTTATTGTATTTTTTCTTGTCTTATATTTTCTGTAGTCGATAAGATGCTTGCCTACCTATCGGGATTGTATGGCTGAGAGTTCAAATCCTGATAGCTAATGTTGAGGCTGTGTTTTAGGTGTGTACATACTGAATATGTGGCTCTTTGGCCCCGCATACTTACACTAAATATAAGCCTTGTGTATTCGTTCTGCCTGTGTGATCTGTTGATGGTAACTTCTCCCTGTTTCTTTCCTTCTTTCCCTTCCTGATTTAGGCAAGAAGCTATTCAGAAGAAGTAAGTGACCTCAGAAATGGTGGGTGGGGCCGACTGAAGCATGCTGGGAGTGACTGCTGTGCCCAGGATCAGTGAAAAAGTGGTTGCTGTATCTTTAAATGATCATGCTCAGGACAGCCTGCCTGTTTACAACGTAAAGAACACCGTGTATTTTAAGAGTTTGCCAGAACTGCACTGACTGACTTCTAGGAGTTACAGAGCATAGAGGCCGCCCTTAGGAATAGACATGTTTGCTTATAATGGTGACATTCAATAGAGCAGACATATTAACGTCACTAAATGGTCTCATTTTCATAATAGTGTGAAGTTTTTCTAAGCCTTTTTCTTTTTAATGTAAGGTCTCTCACTGTGTAGCCCAGGCTAACCAGAAACTCACAATCCCGCCTCCTCTTCCTGAGTGGTGGGTTACAGGTGTGCCCCATGCCCACCTGCACAGACCTTCTTCACGGTTTACTTTCCCCCAACCTTGAGATGGAATCGGACTGTGTTTCCACAGTGACCTCCAACTCTTGGGTCCAAATGATCCTCCCTCCTCCTCAGCTCCTGAGTAACAGGTTAACAGTTGGGCTGCAGTGCCTGACTCTGAGTTTAAACACTTGGACCGAGGTAAATTCTGACTTAGGTGTGAGAAGACTGATGCATTAAAGGATAGTCATACAGAGAAATGTCTTTTCCTGCTCCTCAGACAGCCCCTCTGTGTTTTGCTTTCCAGTGTTGAACAGTCGCCTGACCTGCAGGACCAGTTGAGTCATTTGCTCAAGTAGCGTGTCAACAGTAGTTGACTTCTTTGCCTGATGCGGAGGAGAATGTATCCTACACAACCATCAGGCTGTGGCCTTGGTTTTTATTTTCATCTCCAAAAAAAAAAAAAAATCGTCCAGAAAAGACTTGTGAAAAGAAGAAGCCAAGTGACTGAACATGGAAGCAGATCTTAAAATGGATTAATTCATCTTCAAGTTGTTTTATAGGTTGAATCATTAGCACTAAAAAAAAGAAAGATACCTTAGCTTGTTAAAAGCTGTATTGTCTGTGATCCTATGTACATTGATTCTCTCTCTCTCTCTCTCTCTCTCTCTCTCTCTCTCTC